GCAGGGGCGAGTGGGGCTCCTGCTTGCAGGTGCATAGCTGGGCTACTGTGGGAGAGTCGCTCCTCCTGCCTTCGCTGGCCAGCAAAGCAGCTCTCCATTTTCCTCCTCTTATTTGTGGGATTGCTTCCAACCCAGTTATCAGGCTCCCCTGGCAGTGCAGCCCCCCACTTCCAAGTGGGGTTGTCCCCGGCGAAGGGAGCCGGCATGTCACACCAGCGCACTGGGAACGGGTCCCGTGTGGGCCCATCGCCATGGGCTGGCTCCCCGCCCGCCCCATGGCAAATGCCATCAGCAAGCTGCAATCCCAGCACCCCGCCACCCACTTACCCTGTGGGTATGAGCCCTTCCCCCGCACGCTCAGGGTGGTCGCCTCGCAACCCCCCATCTCTCGCCCCTCTCCAAACCCTCTGCTCAGATGTGCCCCTTCTTCCTCCAGCCCCTTGCAAAACTTTGGCAAAGGGCACTTGGCTTCCCAGCCACCTGCCCCCACCAGGGTGGGAACCAGAGCAATTAGCAGCTGCTAACCAGCCCCTGCAGTTAGGGAGCTAATCAGATAGATAAATGAGCTGGAAGTGAACTGAGCCTGTGAGTGAGGGCTGTGAGCGGAGCTGGGGTTGCCCAGGCCCAGGGTTTTAGGCTGCTTTGCTCGGGCGGGTGTGTGCTGCCATGGAGCCTCAGCTGGGTAAGGGGTTTGCCAAGCGCTGCAGGGCCGTGGCAGAGCTGTGGCTCCTGTGGGGCCGGGACTCTGGCAGCCACGGTCCTTGGGAGGATGCAGGGATGAGCAGGGTTGTGACTGCTCAGCTGCTGGGGTCCGGGTCTCTGGCAGCCACGGTCCTTGGGAGGATGCAGGGATGAGCAGGGTTGTGACTGCTCAGCTGCTGGGGGGCTTTGAGCCCTTGGGGCCATGAGTGCCTTGGGGCTGGACTTGGGTCCCAAGAGGTGCCTCTCGCCTCTCCCAGGAGCCAAAGCTGCTGGCACAGTGCAGCTCTCTGGTCCGCTGGCCCGGGGCCGGCGGC